TTCTCCATGTCTATGGAGTAGATCCTTTTTGGGTTTTGATGGATTTGGTGTATTGATGATTGCTTGTGGATTATAACTCTATTTTTTTGTATTTGAATCATTTTTGGAAGATTTAATTGTTGCATCTATATTCACTTATTCTTGTAATCGAAAGAGGCACAACTTGTGATATCTTTGCATTATATTGTTGGTTAAGTTCATAAATTCTTCTAAGCAATCGAAACAGGCTAGTTGAATCATTAATTAAATCTAGTTAGGAGAATAATTAAAAGAGGTTTTCCTAAAGACCGATCCACTACGCATTCTTGCATATCTTCACGGTGCTTAAATTGGTTCATCCCGTGAGGTTAAGACTTAATCGAGAGAAGAGTTTTTGACGAACGTTTGAGCTAATAATAGAGTGAATTCGAGAGACTCACTTGAACATTGGAAGTGAATTATCTAGAGTTAGATCCCGAACAATTATCTTGTACTTATTCTGTCAAAACCCTATCCTCTTCTACTGATAACCTTAATTGTTTATTCCTTATTTCGATAGTCACTAGTCAATAGTGGTAGATTTTAGATTCTTAGTTAAATTTTATTATTAATCATATATATCTCAACTGTTGATCATCCTGGATATCAATCAAGCTAGAAACTACGAGAATACTATTTAAATCCAATCCTTGTTGATTCAATATTATACTATACTATCTTTCACTAGCGAGCTCAATTTAAATGTGTGTTTTGCACTCGTTAGCGTTCAACAACTAATTTTATCGTCGACATTTAATTCTTCTTCAATTTTTATCGTCCGGCTTTCCTTTTCCTGATTTCTCAATGTAATAGATAGAAATTAAATAATAAAAAATGTCGAGAAAAGGCCCAAAAAACTGAGAAATTATAGTCCAACTAAACTATCAGTCTCTTGTCTCATCTCCATTTATCTCTAAAATACAAATTCGTGTGTATGCATAGTTCTAATTGAATCTTAACTTTTTGGAGGCCTTCTAGTCCTAGAAAAAGAAGTAAAAAGGTCTTGGAGACCCATTTGTCTATCAATGCCTTTTAACAATTAGAAAATTAGGACGGACTCGTAATTTTACATTTAGTTACAGCATTACCAAATTGTATCCGGTATTTGGAATATGTAACCAAACTATGGAAAAAGAGTTTCTTTGTTTAAGTTAATTTAAATGATTGCGTCATTTATAATGTAATTATATATAAATTACTATAAATATTGATTGTATAAAGTTGCATACCATGAATCCATATATACGCTGGAACCCCTTCACATGACAAAAATGCCCTTTTACTCGAGTTTGACATATTCTTTTTTTTTTTTTTTTGGGGTTAAATTATTGTTTTGTTTTTCTTTCAAGAAAGCTATATAACCGCTAGCAGAACCCTATTTGTACTCTTTCGCCTCCGCTTTCTTCTCTCCCCAGAAAGGAATCAACCTTCTTCATATCTCTTCTAATTTTAATAACTTACCCAGAAAGCCATGCACACTTAATGCAACAGTAGCAGTATAATGTTTCTTTTTCCAGATCTTTTTTACAACAATCTTCTTCTCTGTTCAATTCTTTGCCTTGTTGGTGAATCAAGAATGTCAGATAACAAAAACAATAATGCAGAAGCAGGCGCAGCAGCTGCTGATGCTGCAGAATCGCACGAAGTTGCTGGTAGTAATCGCCCTGCATGTGCTTCATGTAAGCATCAAAGAAAGAAGTGTATAGAAGGAGAGTGCGTTATGTGGCGACACTTTCCAGCAAGCAAGATGGATGAATTTCTTGGGGTTCACAAGGTTTTTGGTATTTCCAATGTAACAAAGAAGATTAAAAGCTTAGATGATGTTGCTCAACGGGATGAAGCTATCAAATCCTTCTTCTGGGAAGCAAGGTTATGGCAGGTAGAAACGGAGTCACAATTTTAAATTTAATGAATTTATGCTTCTCACTATCTTGAAAATATGAGTCTCAACTTAATTACCATATATTTATAATCTTTATATGTATGTCTATTATTTATGACAAAGATGACCAGTTCAATTTTGAAATTATACTTGATGGGTTCAATCTTGACGGTTTTATGGTTCAATCGAAACTTTTGAGATTTTGAGTTCTGTTAAAATCTTGGTGGTTTTCATGTATATATAAATCTATATTAGGTGTCGAAAATACTGAGTTTAGTTAATCTACTAAATATAGGTTGCATCCGCTTAATTCTTCTGATTAATTAGTTTAACACTATATATACTTCCGCCTCTGATGGATGGAACGCAGGAGGATCCAGTTCATGGGCCGTTAGGGGAATACAAGAAGTTGGAACAACAGCTTAAAGAGCTTAAGGAGGAGGAACAAAGGAATAAAGAGCTACAAATTGTACAATTTCCACCCTCAGAGATAAGGTATTTGGATCAGATAGTGGCACAAAGACAAATCAGTACAATTTCCACGCTTAGTGATCAGGAAGATTATTTGTTGAACTCGATTTCCCCTAATTATAGTACACTTTTACAAGGACATGGGGTTTTTCCTAGCCATAATTATAATAATCCAATTGAACAAAGGCAAACTGGTTTAATCCCAAGACAAGGGTTTCAAGATCCCAGCATTATGCTACAAGACGGAAGAGGAGTTTCTCATCTGGCTAATTATAATGGTCATGTTCAATTACATCAACAAAGATGTTCATTTAACAATAATATAGATTTAGGGCAAGGAATTACTCGAGGAAGGAGAAGAAAGGAATGTAGCGATCATCAATTGGTGAGTCCAAGTTCTACTGCAGGTAGACATGTACGAGGAAGGGGAATTGGACCAATTAGTAGTGCAACTGGAATACGCGGTGCAATAATGCCAAGTAGTAGTTCTGCTTCTTTTGCTGATCAATGGACTGATAAGTTGAGAGATAGTACTGGTGGAGGACATTGTGAAGTAACAATTCCCTTGCCTTCTGCAGTACAAAATATTGCAGATGGAAGAAGTAACAGACAAGCTGAAGATTTTCAACATCAGTTCACTAACTATAACCACAGAAATTTACCAGGTAAATGTTCAACTTTAATATTACTACTATAAAACTACTACGTACTTTTTTCGTTTCTTATGAAGACAGAGGGGTTAGTAAAAGCTTTTATAACACCTCCGATAATTTAGCCATATATATCTAATTATTATTTTTTTGGATTCTTGAAGGGGAATCTAGTCAAAGTGACTTGGAGAGTATGGATGATTCAACCTCCAAGAGATTTTAGCACATTTTACATTTGTTTCTAAGGTAGAGGCTATTCAAACTCGATGGATTAAAAAGGTAGTTTCAATTTTATTCCATTATGATCCATTTCGTGTTATTCGTTAAAAGATAGAAAAGCAGATAAAAGTACAATGTAGTGTTTGCCTTTCTTACAGTATTATAACTCTCTAAATCTTGCTCTTTCCAATACGTATGCCTTTTAAACTTCAGAATGTTAGGACTACTTCAGATGTTAGAAATAATAGATAATAAGAAACACAGAAGAGATAACTGATTAAACTCATCAACACAAAAGAATTACAAACAGAACTGAAAGACAATAGAAGAAGGGGAGACGAGAGGAAAGGGATACAGAATTGCTCCAAAATCACATGTTGCTCATTTCAACCAGGTTTCCATTTAAAATCAGCCAGCCTTTAATTAGGCTGACTCGCCCAATTTCTGCGTCTATTAACCCATAGTCGTCGATCCAATCCCTTATATTAAAAATAGCCGGTGGAGCTATAATATAAGCATAATTTATGTATTATATAATCTATGTATATGACTAGAAAAAGTAAAAACAATTAATATGGTCGGCTATTTGTGTAAAGATCCCATGATTATACTCAGGCCCAAGGCCAATTTCTTGATACTCCAAGCCCATTTTCTGATTTGAGTCCATAACAGATTGCTATATACAAAAACTCCAACTAAAGTATTTCCTGATGATATGTACTTCTCGAATTGGTAACAACTACTTGCAATTGTGAATTGAATAATTCGACTTTCCTTTGGGGTTTTCGTAATTAGTTGGCTATTGTATTCATAAAATTATTGTCCTATAAAATGTCAAGATCGAATACACGTCATTCCAACTAATGAAAAGTAGTCATTTGAATGTCAGTTTCTAGAATTATTGTTCAAACCACGTGAAAATAAGAATGTTCTTCGTCCAAATTAATAATTACCATTACATATAGAACAAATGTGTAGCCCTGTCCATACGACAAGAAGGCAAAGCAAGGAGTGGTCAAAATTGGTACCTTATTTTTCTCTCGTTGATGATTCATGAACCTTGTTTATTAAATTATAGTCTTCATTAAAAGTCAAGTGCCAAAACAAAATGGATTGGAGATTATCCTTTATTGGCCCACTGAAAAGACCAAGGTAACCCTTACAAACTCAGTGAAGTCACATCAATTTTGGGTCTCTAGAACTCCAAACATGAGTCATCTACCTCATCTCTAGAACTCCAAACATTGGTCAACCTGATTATATTAATTGGAGGTTGAAGGAAGATGAACAGCGAATATGTGCCATTCTAATTGCAAAATTATCCTCTTTGTTATCAAGAGTATCTTATTTTATTAAATGATCACTTTGTCAAATTATAGTGTTCAACTAAACATCTTTCTATTCTTTATGTAGATTGACATGAAAAATTTTTTTTACTCTTACCATGTGCATGCACATTAAACCAATAAATGCACGAAATGTATTTATTTAAGACAATCTTTTTTCTCTCAACCTCGAAAAAAAGTAGACTTGAAAGGTCAACTGCGCAAACAGAGGCATCAATTCTGTGGAAAATTATAGTCTGATAATCCCTCTTCCTCAATCATATATCATTGTACATGCAAACAATTACCTAGGCTTGTAATATCAAGGAAAACAAGGGGGTAAACAGTGTCCACAATATTCTCACGAACGCACCAACTATTGAAAAAGACATGCACAAATTTTTCTCTTGTTTCCTCATATTTTCCTCTTCCTCCACGAAAGAAAATTCAACAGACCCCACAACTTTTCTAGTATTCCTCAAGTTAAATACCTGATCTCAACCTCATAATCCAAACTTCAGAAACATTTTTCAAAAGCCATAACCTTATATCCCTCTTAGCTATGGTTCCAGCTCCCCAAAGTGATTTGCCTCTTAATGAGAATGACTCACAAGAGATGGTACTATATGAAGTCCTCAATGAAGCTAGTGCCCTTACCATCCCATATTTACCCCAAAGAAACCAGCTTATTCCCAAAAATGTCCTTCGTCCATCACAGACCATAGGAAAGAAGTACAGAGGCGTAAGACGGAGACCATGGGGAAAATACGCTGCTGAAATTCGTGATTCGGCTAAACATGGTGCTAGAGTATGGCTAGGCACTTTTGAAACAGCCGAAGAAGCTGCCATAGCTTATGATAGAGCAGCCTTTAGAATGCGTGGTGCTAAGGCACTCCTCAATTTTCCGTCTGAAGTTGTCACAGCCTCTGCTTCAGTAGATAGATTACTACTACGTCCCCCAAGTTTGAGCTCAGATAGTTACACTAATTCCAACAATTCAAATTCTAGTTCAAATGAAGTTTCAAGTGGGTTGATTAATACATTTGAATCAAGAATTTCAACGGAATTTTCTCAAGATACTAAGACAGAGTATATGGAGAATTTCTTGGCACTTTGAACCAATTGCACGGTCGATGTTAAGTTGTACTAGGAGTTATAGTTTGTTCACACCTCGAGCATAATTTAGACGTGTTTGATTGTCTCCGTAATATATCTATCTAGTTGTGTTTTACTTTCACATTATATACTAGTCTTTCTTTTTATTTTCTTCTTGAATTGTTTACAACCATCATGCGCGCTTTAATCATGTAATTCATCTGTAAAAAGCTTGTATCAGATTTTATTAGCGCTTCGTTTACAAATTGTAATTTGCACATTCTGTTTACCACTTTTCTCAAGAACGCAAATCAAACGCACTATCATATGCGGGGTTGCCACAGAGAGGCTAAAGTGTTAGTCATTCTCTGACCAAGAATATAATGGACCGTCGAACATAATAGATTACTCATTACTCCCTCCCTTCCGATTTACGTGAACATGTTTGACTGCGCACGAATTTTAAAAAAAAAAAGAAGTATTTTAGAATTTGTGGTCCTAAACAAATCAAAAAGGGGCATAGAGTATTTGTGTGGTTATAAAAGTTTCTCATTAAGGGTGAAATTATAAATTTAAGCTAAATTGTTTCCAAATTTAGAAAGAAGTCATTCTTTTTGGAACAGACAAAAAATGAAAATAGGTTCACATAAAATAACGGAGGGAGTATTAATAAATTCATATAAAGACTTATTTATTCTCTTAATTAACTCAACGATCTTATAAAAAATTAGCTCAACGATCTTATAAAAAATTAGCTCAACGAAGGGAAACAGAACAGCAAGTTCCTTTTTAAGAATTGTCAAATAAATTCTAGCAATATCAAATTTAACCCAAAAAAATATACTCCATCCACGTTAGTTTATGTGGCACCATTCGAATTTTGAGAATCAATTAAATTGTTTTACTGTTATTTTTTCATGTCTTTTAAATATTTTTAAATTATTAACTATTAGCACTTATAACATTTTATGTAATTTCCAAATATGTAAATTTTATTTTCGAAGTCATAGTCAAAATTAAAAGAATTTGACTCTCAAACCCACACGTTTCCACATTATCTCATTTGACACTCCTAACAAATTCCAAAGTCCCATTTGCGATTAACACAGAACCTTATATGTAATTATGTATAGTGGAGAAGAAGATAAAATTTGCTTAGATCACTTTGCCAAGTGGTCAGCAGTCAAAAGACACACGATGATTGTGTTAAAATAAAGAAAGGATAGAGATTCAAGATCTGATTATTGACTATGTATATTATCCAAAGTTGACCCAGAGGCGGCTTAACAACAAGTTTATTTGGAGGCCCTTAAAAAACAATTTAATAGATATTTTTATTTAGAATCTATTTTCTTTTTTACTTTTTGAGATGCAGAGTTATTAATTATTTTCTATAATCGATTTCTTCTAATAATTCTTTTTTATTTGATTTTATATTTACAATCTATTTAATCTTCTTCTTCTTAGAGTTTAATACTATCACCTGGGTTAATTAGTGACTTATTCATCTAAAATACACTCCCCTATTTTTTCTAATTCAGTTTTTCTATTGTTTGCCAAAAATTTATCAAGGGCTTTTTTGGGGATTGTATTAAATTTTTAACTCTTCTCTTTAAATAACCATGAAATAAAAATAATAAATATAAGATAAAAAGATACGTTAGAATAAAAGAACTTGATTCAAGAAGTTTGAATACTTAATTCTAAATTTTGTATTGCTGCTTCAAAAACTTTCCGGATGCTTTAAATGTGAGAACGAATAGATAAATGAGACACAATAGTATCGAAAGTAGATTTTAACTATGTTGTTGAAGAAGCAACAAAATTGTAATATGGCCAAATTTTCATGACATAATATCCATTATAATAAATTTGTAGTTCATGACATTTGCCATGACATAATATCCATTATAACAAATTTGTGGATCATGACATTTGCCATGACATAATATTCATTATTAGGCCAAGGATTTCTTGCTATAAATAGAGGAGTTTCTCCTCATTTGTAAACACACCGATTCAAGAGTTTTTCACTCTTGTCTTTCTTTCTCCTCATTTATTTTATTATAGAGTATTTTATAAAAGAGTGAGTGTTGGGAAACACTTGTGTGAACCCTTTCTTTGGAGTGATCTTGTGAGGTTATTCTCTTGGGGTGTTTGAGATTAATTAGAGTATATACTCTAATTATGTAATCTTGTTGGTATAGTAAAATTGCTTCTCTCCGCTCGTGGACGTAAGTCACCTTGACCGAACCACGTTAAATTAGTGGCTTCTTTATCTTCTTTAATTGTCGTTATTATCAACTTGCATTGTCTTTGTTATTATCATTATAACGTTGTTTGGCTAAATTTCGCACTACTCGGTTTCCCGATCCTAACAAAAGTTTTGAATAACGAATAGTTAAAATTTTAGAGAAAGTAAGAAAGAATATAGGACAAAGTATGTAAATTGATGAAATATAAGAAAGAATATAAGACAAAGTATATAAATTAATGAAATATGTGAAATGAAAGATTGTGGCTCTTGCATAAACTAAGAAAGAGAATGTAAAGTTTTAACACCTTTCTTATTAAAGGTAAAGTGAAGTATAATTTCCTTATCAAATCCGTTCCTCATTAGTATGTTGTGATTTATAGAGTTATTCATATTTCCCTATTTTTAAGTCAAACGATCATTTATTCACAGAGCTAAAAAGTTGGCGTTCTTTTTATATGAAAAATCTAATTTTCTTCCGAATAGTACTCAATATTTTTCAAAAAAGAAAATAAACCTATTCTTTCCAAAAATGGGCCCCCAAATTTGGGGCCTAAAGCAATAGCTTTAGGTGCTTTATGGTTAAGCCGACACTGAGTTGACCCTGGACTCCGGTAGGTATCGGCCATATCAAAAAGAAAAAAAAGGGTAAAAGAGATAATTCTCCAATATTTTTATTTATGAAAAGAAGACCTATAATCTAATAGTATCGTTTTTTTTCAATTGTATTGGTGTTCTCTTTCCTTCCCCTCTACTTATACGTGCTCCTTCTGTAATAGAAAGAAATTAAAAATTCATATTTTTGTAATTATCAAAGGATCTTTACGGGAAAAAAAGGATAAATTTGTTAGTCCCGCCAATATTATTGTATTTGTAAATAATAATTCTGAAAAATATAAGTTATCGTAATAAAACAGTAATTAATTCGAGCTCACTGAATTCACAGTGCTTCCTTAAGGAATTTAATCCCCTCCTAGTACCCAAGGTTATGGATTATTTCCTCCCAGGATAGAACGAATCACACACTGGTATAGCAGTACTTCAAACCCCAGTGTTTCAGCGAACACAAAGTTCGGTAGCAAATCACACTTACCGTTGCTTTGTTTGAAGATGAACGACCCTCCACCCTCCATGGTGGAGCATGCACTAGCTTGTTTGTAGAGCAAGCACTTGGCCATGGTGGGAAGTGGGAAGAGCATTAGGCGGCTGCTATTGCAGCTGGTGGTCAATACACAGATTGGAACATATCCGTTACAAATGCGGATAATCTTACGTTAATATTTACTATTAACAATTAAATTTGGTCCAAAAAATTAATCAATCAATTGATCATTTGATCAAATTCAAATTCAAATCCGAAGCCGAAGTCGAGCCGAGCAGAGCGAGCGACGACGACGACGGCGCGAGGCTTGCTTTCTTCTTAACTCTTTAAGAGCTACAAGAAGAGCAATTATATATATACCCACCAAAAATCTTTTCCTCTTCCAATATGGGACAATGTCTCATTGTCAAGAGGGGGAAACTTAAAATTTTACTCAAAAATTTTATTTTTTCCTCCATTTCCCATTCACCCTCATTTTAAGACTATTTCATCTTAAATAACAAAAACCTCAACAATCCCCCACATGAATGGGGAATGGCTATATCACGGAAGTATGCATGGAAAAACTGTGTGATTTACAAGTAAGGATTAATCGCATCTGGATAAGTAGGTTT